ATAGGAAAGCCAGTGGCATTAGGTGACAAGGAGAGTAACAGGCATAGTGGAGGAACAGAGATCAACAGGCAGAGAAAAAAGAAGGGAGGGTTTCTGAAAATATATGCTAATAGTCGTGGTGCGAGAAGTAAGATGGATGAATTGAAATTAGCTGCAAGTGGGAGTAACACTGATATTTTTGCCATAACCAAGATGTAGTTTAATATGAAAAATAGGGACATGCCTGCTGAATGTCACATTCAGGGTTTTAAATTGTTTCAAGTAGACAGAAGTATTGGGAATGGGGGTGGGGTGGGGGGGAGCACTATGTCTGATCGTTTAAATTGTTGCATTAAAATGGGTATAAAGTATAAACGGGTATGAAGTGATAACACCAGGAGGCAGCTCAGATGAGAACACACACACGAGCTTTTAAATCTCTGCACAAAATTCAACTTAAACCAGCAAATAATAGAGCCTACTAGACTGGAGAATACACTGGACCTCATCTTCACTAACAATGATGATCTGATACGAAATGTCACCATATCAAAAACAATATACAGTGGTCCCTTGATAATAGTCCGGCTCGATAGTCATCCTTTTCGGAAATCGTCGCGTTATTTCATCCAAACATTGGCTCGCAAATGGTCCGTTTACTTGCTAATCGTCCTTCATCCGGGACGCATGCTCACGGCTCTGCGCTGCCTCACCCATTCCCAGCCAGTGTGCCATTGTTTATCAGTGAGTGAGGATGATCCCACAAGTTCACACGATACATTTCATACTATTCCATTCGTTTTAGTGCTTGCAACTGCTAAATAAGTCACCATGGCTCCAAAGAAACCTAGTGCCAGCCCTTTGGTAAAGAATGTGAGAAACACACAATTTAAGAAAAAGTTTGTAGAAAAATACGAAGGTGGTGGTGGTGGTGATGGTGGTGGTGGTGGTGGTAGAGTGGAAGCCGTTGTGATAGTGGTTGATGGTGGTATAGGGTGGTAGGTGGTAGTGATGGGGTAGCAGTTGCAATAGTGGTAGGTGGTAGTGATGGGGGTAGCAGTTGTAATAGTGGTAGAAGGTGGTAGTGATGGTGGTAGCAGTTGTAATAGTGTTAGAAGGTGGTAGTGATGGTGGTAGCAGTTGTAATAGTGGTAGAAGGTGGTAATGATGGTGGTAGCAGTTGTAATAGTGGTAGAAGGTGGTAATGATGGTGGTAGCAGTTGTAATAGTGGTAGAAGATGGTAGTGATGGTGGTAGTGGTTGTGATGGTGGTAGAGCATGCCTTCTTCAGTGATTCAGTGATTTACTAACTCCTCCAATGTTGTTGGAGTTATATAGGGCTACAGAAAACACCGCCGCATCAGCCACTGCTTCACCACCATTATGGATGGCTTACTCTCAGTGGTCCTTATACACCCAACAACACAACACCTCGTGACATACGTGACTTAACTTATTCATTCTAGAGTATATTCCATATTTCTGTGTTATTAGTATGTGACCTCAGACACTTATTTGATCCTAAGAGATTTTTGGAAAGGACACTTCAGTATCCTCCATTGCATAAGCCTTATAGGTAAGGCTTGGGAGGGAGTGACTACCAGGACTTTGAACTCTGCTAGGAGAAAATTGTGGCCAGATTGTGTCCACAAGAGGGATTTTGAAGGGTTTGTGGCTGACCTTGATGAGCCTATGTCAGTTGTGAACTCTATTGTGGCACTGGGGAGTTCCATGGGGTTGGATGCGAGTTTGGAGGATGTGGAAGTTAGTGGAGGACCACAGGGAAGAGCTAACCACTGAGGAGCTGCAAGAGCTTCAGCAGGAACAGCAACAGATCGCAGCTCAGAATCTTGCTGCAGAGGAGAAGGAAGAGAGATAGAAGAAGGTGCCTTCTTCAGAAATTAAGGAGATTTTTGAAATGTAGGGTAGGATGGAAAGATTTATGGAGAAACATCACCCTGAGAAGAATGTTGCAAGCCATATCGGCAACTTGTACAGTGACAGTCTTGGCCCATTTTAGGGAAATTTTAAAGAGACGCCAGAAACAGAGCTCTCTGTACAGTTCTTTTTTGCGAGACAGGACTCCAGTGACTCAAGCTGGTCCTAGTGGCATTAAGAAACAGAGAAGAGAAGTAACCCCAGAAAAGCACTTGGTACCTGAGGTGTTGATAGAAGGGGATTCCCCTTCCAAACAGTAATTCAATCTCTCTCCTCCTCCAGTCTTCCATACACTAAGAAGAATCGCCAATAAAGGAAAGTGTTATGCTGTTAATGTTTCATTCATCATGTCCCATTGTATTGTTTATGTACTACATCTATATTTCATGTAAAAAAATTTTTTGTTTTAATACTTCTGGGTGTCAGGAACGGATTAATTGTATTTACATTATTTCTTATGGGGAAAATCGATTCGAAAATCGTCTATTTCAATAATAGTCCCACTTCCAGGAACGGATTAAGGACGATAAATGAGAGATCACTGTACTCGGATCACAACATAATCAAGGTTCAGACATGTATGCGCGGAGCCCCAGACCGACAAAATGAGATCAGTCACGAAGGAGCCTTCACCAAATTCAACTTCAATAACAAGAACGAAGTGGGATCAAGTAAACCAAGTCCTAAACGATATAAGCTGGGAAGATAGACTAAGCAACACAGACCCCAACTTATGCCTAGAACAGATTAACTCTGTGGCACTATGTATCCTCAAGGCTTATTCCTTTAAGAAAAAGAAGGAGTAGATGTACAATAGACAGGCACTCCCTTTACAGGTGACAAAAGAATAACAGAGTGGCTAAAAGAGGCCAATATGTATATCTGAAATACATAGGGAGACACTGGTCAGAGAAATAGCAAACATCGAACTAAAGCTAAAGGAATCTTATAGGAGTCAGGAATCGCGGGAAGAACTAAAAGCCATAAATGAAATTGAAAGAAACCCAAAGTATTTCTTTTCTTATGCCAAATGAAAGTCGAGAACAACATCCAGCATTGGGCCCCTACTTAACCCTTTCAGGGTCCACAGGCCCTCTCCCAGACTTGTTCTCAGGGTCCCCCAAATAAAAAAAAAAAAAAAAAAAAAAAAAAAAAAAAAAAAAAAAAAAAAAAAAAAAAAAAAAAAAAAATTATTTTTTCTTACGAAAAGATATAATCTTTTTCCCGATCATAACGACACCAAAAGTATGAAATTTGATGGAAAACTTACGGAATTATGCTCTCGTGAAGTTAGCGGTCTCAACGATGTTTATGCATAGGCGATTTTGCCCACTGAGCCCTATTTTCAGCCAATTCCAGTGTACAAGTCGACAAAAATCAACTATTTCACTAGAACTCCATTTTTACTATCGAATGAATACAAGAAACCACCCATTTACCAATTTCAACTACCCAATGCAGTGGTCAGAATTTAGCAATTTTGCCAATTTCACACAAATTTCAGAAGATGCCAATTTCCAAATAGGGTCCAGAATAAACAAGAAAGACATTCCTGGCACTAAAATAACATTTCCTCTGTTCATTAGTCACGTCCCCACGCCCCTCTTACATTCTTTTGCTTTCCACTTTGAATTTTTATTCTCACAAAAAAATAGAAGATTTACTGTTATGTAGACTACTGCATTAGTGTAGAAATGGTATAAATAATATCAGAGCACTTGTGAAAGAATATCAGACTCACCAGTTGAAGTGTATTGGACCCCTAGCATGATTTGTTTACTTTTGAACTTTGGTAAAAATTGAACATTTCTGCTACTTTGAGCTCAATTTCAAGGTGCTTTTCATTGTAAAACCAGTCAAAATCATCTCAATTTCTGTAATAGGTCTTTCATTCTATAAAATGAGACCAGGAAAACTAGAATACAACAATAAATACCATACGAAAATACATTGCAAAGTCGCTGTTTTAATGCAAAAACACTGTCAAAGTTTTTTTTTCTCATTACACACTGTGCTGCAGGATTTTTTTTATACTGCACACACTGACCACAAAGACCCATTATTTCATATGTAGGCCTACCAGCTTTCTCTCACTAGATTTGAGGGCACTATAATTTATGCGTACTAGTACGTCAAGGACCCTGGTGCGTAAGCCGTACTAGTACGGCCGAAACCCTGAAGGGGTTAAACAAGATGGGTCCTCCACAGATGACAGCAAGGAAATGATACAGTTCAATGTAGATAAATGTAAAGTTCTAAAGCTTGGAAATGTTCATAACCCTAGCACCTACCAGCTTAATAATGTTGAACTTAGCCATACAGAATGCAAAAAGGATTTGGGGGTTATGGTTAGCAGCAACCTTAAACCAAGACAGCAATGCCTAAGCATATGTAATAAAGCAAACAGATTACTGGGATCTATATCTAGAAGTGTAAGCAACAGAAGTCCAGTAGTTATTTTACAGCTTTATACATCATTAGTAAGGCCTCTCCTAGATTACACAGCTCAGTTCTGGTCTCCATATTAAAGAATGGATATAAATTCATTAGAAAACATTCAGTGTAGAACGACTAAATTAATACATAGCATTAGAAATCTTCCGTATTCACTTTAAGATGAAGAAGGAGGCGAGACATGACTGAAGTATATAAGTGGAAGATGGGTATTAACAAAGAGGATATAAATAAGGTTTTGAGGAAATCCCTCTAAGAGAGAACCCACAATAATGGATTCAAATTAGACAAGTTTAGATTTCAAAAGGATATAGGAAAGTACTGGTTTGGTAATAGGGTAGTTGAATGGAATGGTCTGCCTAGTAGGATTATTGAAGCTAAAACCTTGGGTAGTTTCAAATTTAGGTTGGATAAATACACGAGTGAGAGGGGTTGGATTTGAGTGGGACTTTCACCCGAGTGAATAGAATTATTGAAGCTTATTGCTTGAGTAGAGCTTATTCTGTTAGTGTGTTGAATTTCTAAAGTACCTGCCTAGTATGGGCCAACAGGCCTATTGCAGTGTCTCCTTTATTATGTTCTTATGTAAACTATAGACGGCATCGTGCCCTAACCAAATATATCGGTACTGTACATTAAATAGGTTAAGTGCAGAAATTAGTCAAGAAAATTATACCTGTGCCCTTTGGTGGACCAGATCCCACATACTGACTCAGCACATCGCCATCTTTCACCTCACAGCCAGGAACATTGACAACTAGCCAATGGTGCCATTCACGGAATTTGGGTGCTTTTCGACTTGGAGCATCAGGATCTATAAAGAAAAGTATACATCAACAATTTACCAAAACTGGACAAGTATCTTCACAGGGTGCTAGATCAACCAGGCTGTGATGCACAGGTGGGTCAGAAGAACACCAGCAGCAACAGCCTGGTTCACCAGGCAAGCGCTTTACAAGCCTGGCCCAAGGCCAGGCTCTAGGAGTAGAAACTCTCAGTACTCATTGAAGGTATTAAAGGCTTTCAAATAAACATCCTTAGTAACACATGCATACTATAATGCATTTTCAGTAGACATACACTTTGCTTATTAAGAAATGGCTCATTTGGGAAATGATTTTCATTGAAATCTGATAGTTTTGTATTTTAATGAAATATTGACTTTCAATAATGTAATTTACAAGAGCTTGCCACTTTTTACTGGGATAACTTTTAGTCTCTATTATTATTATTATTATTATTATTATCATTATAATAAAAAAAAGTCCACTACCCACAATTCATACACCGTCCACAATTAGTTCCACGTCAAAGGCTACGAGTAATATAATACAGTGGAACTTCAGTTTTCGTCAAATTCGGTTTCCGACAACTTCAGTCAAAATTTTGTCCATTTTCGTTCATCACCTCTGTTTTCATCGCGTTGGCAGTGGTCCACCGTACCGAACATGTCCACCAACGCCCACACAAAGCACCTCATGCCGTCTGAGTTAGTCTGGCTTTGTGTCTCACCAGTAGAGGGTGGTAGTGATGGTGGTAGAGATAATCTCTCCTCCCTCTCCCCTCCTCACCGTCTTCCTTACACCAACAAGAGTCTTCAATAAAAGGTAAAAGTGATGTTAAATGTTCATTTATCCATTTCATTAGTCCTTTATACACCTTCCATCCGACTTACGACCAAGCTTGGTTCCAACCAACCGGTCCTAAGTCAAAATGGATAAAAGTCGAACCTTTGAAAATTGCCAACATACTGGGTAGGGCATAATGTCGAACTTTTCCTATGTAAACTACCTACATAGTACTGTAATGTAATGTACAATCATTATTTCATTCTTTTTACCATAATTTAATTCCCCCCCCAACAAGTCTGCCGTCTCCCACCGAGGCAGGGTAACCCAAAAAAGAAAAAAACCCCAAAAAGAAAATACTTTCATCATCATTCAACACTCACCACACTCACACATTATCACTTTTTGCAGAGGTGATCAGAATACAACAGTTTAGAAGCATATACATATAAAGATACACAACATATCCCTCCAAACTACCAATATCCCAAACCCCTCCTTTAAGGTGCAGGCACTGTACTTCCAATTTCCAGGACTCGAGTCCGACTATATGAAAATAACCGGTTTCCCTGAATCCCTTCACTAAATATTACCCTGCTCACACTCCAACAGATCGTCAGGTCCCAAGTACCATTCGTCTCCATTCACTCCTATCTAACACACTCACGCACGCTTAATGGAAGTCTAAGCCCCTCGCCCACAAAACCTCCTTTACCCCCTCTCTCCAACCCTTTCGAGGACGGCCCCTACCCCGCCTTCCTTCCCCTATAGATTTATATGCTTTCCATGGCATTCTACTTTGATCCATTCTCTCTAAATGACCAAACCACCTCAACAACCCTTCTTCTGCCCTCTGACTAATACTTTTATTAACTCCACACCTTTTCCTAATTTCCACACTCCGAATTTTCTGCATAATATTTACACCACACATTGCCCTTAGACAGAACATCTCCACTGCCTCCAACCGTCTCCTCACTGCTGCATTTACCACCCAAGCTTCACATCCATATAAGAGTGTTGGTACTACTATACTTTAATACATTCCCTTCTTTGCCTCCATAAATAACGTTTTTTTTGACTCCACATATACCTCAACGCACCACTCACCTTTTTTCCCCTCATCAATTCTATGATTAACCTCATCCTTCATAAATCCATCCGCCGACACGTCAACTCCCAAGTATCTTAAAACATTCACTTCTTCCATACTCCTCCTCCCCAATTTGATATCCAATTTTTCTTTATCTAAATCATTTGACACCCTCATCACCTTACTCTTTTCTATGTTCACTTTCAACTTTCTACCTTTACACACATTCCCAAACTCATCCACTAACCTTTGCAATTTTTCTTTAGAATCTCCCATAAGCACAGTATCATCAGCAAAAACTGTGTCAATTCCCATTTTGAATTTGATTACCCATAATTTAATCCCACCCCTCTCCCAAACACCCTAGCATTTACTTCTTTTACAACCCCATCTATAAATATATTAAACAACCATGGTGACATTACACATCCCTGTCTAAGACCTACTTCTACCGGGAAGTAGTCTCCCTCTCTTCCACACACCCTAACCTGAGCCTCACTATCCTCATAAAAACTCTTTACAGCATTTAGTAACTTACCACCTATTCCATATACTTGCAACATCTGCCACACTGCTCCTCTATCCACTATCATATGCCTTTTCTAAATCCATAAATGCAATAAAAACTTCCCTAACTTTATCTAAATACTGTTCACATATATGCTTCAATGTAAACACGATCTACACATCCCCTACCCACTCTGAAACCTCCTTGCTCATCCGCAATCCTACATTCTGTCTTACCTCTAATTCTTTCAATTATCATCCTACCATACACTTTTCCTGGTATACTCAGTAAACTTATTCCTCTATAATTTTTACAATCTCTTTTGTCCCCTTTTCCTTTATATAAAGGGACTATACATGCTCTCCGCCAATCCCTAGGTACCTTCCCCTCTTTCATACATTTATTAAACAAAAGTACCAACCACTCCAACACTATATCCCCCCCTGCTTTTAACATTTCTGTCATGATCCCATCAGTTCCAGCTGCTTTACCCCCTTTCATTCTACGTAATGCCTCACGTACCTCCCCCACACTTACATTCTGCTCTTCTTCACTCCTAAAAGATGGTATACCTCCCAGGCCAGTGCATGAAATTACCGCCTCCCTTTCTTCCTCAACACTTAAAAGTTCCTCAAAATATTCTCGCCATCTACCTAATACCTCCCTCTCCCCATCTACTAACTCCCCTACTCTGTTTTTAACTGACAAATCCATACTTTCCCTAGGCTTTCTTAACTTGTTTAACTCACTCCAAAATTTTTTCTTATTTTCATTAAAATTTCTTGACAGTGCCTCTCCCACTATCATCTACTCTCCTTTTGCACTCTCACCACTCTCTTCACCTTTCTTTTACTCTCCATATACTCTGCTCTTCTTATAACACTTCTGCTTTGTAAAAACCTCTCATAAGCTACCTTTTTCTCTTTTATCACACACTTTACTTCATCATTCCACCAATCACTCCTCTTTCCTCCTGCCCCCACCCTCCTATAACCAAACTTCTGCCCCACATTTTAATACTGCATTTTTAAAACTATTCCAACCCTCTTCAACCCCCCCACCACCCATCTTTGCACTAGCCCACCTTTCTGCCAATAGCCGCTTATATCTCACCCGAACTTCCTCCTCCCTTAGTTTATACACTTTCACCTCCCTCTTACTTGTTGTTGCCACCTTCCTCTTTTCCCATCTACCTCTTACTCTAACTGTAGCTACAACTAAATAATGATCCGATATATCAGTTGCCCTCTATAAACATGTACATCATACATAGTATAAATTACCTAGGATAACCCAAAAAATCCAGACCAAGTCCTATACAGTACATCTGTGCTCCTGTGCCCTAAATTAATAATAATATTAATAATTATTCTTCTTCTCCATGGGAAAGTGGAACAGAATTCTTCCTCCGTAAGCAGTGTGTGTTGTAAGAGGCGACTAAAATGCCAGGAGCAAGGGGCTAGTAACTCCTCCTCCTGTATTAATTACTAAATTTAAAGAGAAACTTTTGTTTTTCTTTTTGGGCCACCCTGCCTCGGTGAGATATAGCCGGTTTGTTGAAAAAGAATTATTATTATTATTACAATAATACATATGTACTAATATTAATAATATTATTAAACTATAATATAATAATCGTGTCCACTCATTACTTACCGTAAAGTATCTGTAGTCTTAATGTAGAATGAGAGGCAAGTAAACAAGATTAAATGAATAAACGAATGAGACTGTAGAAGGTTGGAGAGTTGTGTAAACAAACGTCGTCGTTGTTGTTACCAGCCCGGACACGAATGGTTTCTGTTCACTCTGTCAAGCCGACCAGAAAATAAATTTATATGTTTATATGTTATGTAGCATGTTTATTATAATTTTGAAAAAGAAATCATAGATGGATTAAGCAAAATGTCTATACAGTGGACCCCCGCATACCGTTGGCATCACATAACGATTAATCCGCATACCGCTTGCTTTAATCGCAAAAATTTTGCCTCGCATACCGCTTAAAAACCCGCTCATCGATTTTCGTCCGAGACGCGTCCAATGTGCGCCCTCAGCCAGCCTCACATGTGCCGCCAGTGGCATTGTTTACCAGCCAGCCTCCGCGGTAACATCCAAGCATACAATCGGAATATTTCGTATTACAGTGTTTTCGGTGCTTTTTCTGGAAAATAAGTGACCATGGGCCCCAAGAAAGCTTCTAGTGCCAACCCTACAGCAATACGGGTGATAATTACAATAGAGATGAAGAAAAAGATCATTGATAAGTATGAAAGTGGAGTGCGTGTCTCCGAGCTGGCCAGGTTGTATAATAAACCCCAATCAACCATCGCTACTATTGGTGGTACAGCTGCTGCTGCTGCTGCACTGTCAGCTGCTGCTGCTGCTGTAGCATCGTCTGCTGCTGCTGCTGCTGCTGTAGCATCGTCTGCTGCTCCTGTAGCATCGTCTGCTGCTGCTGTAGCATCGTCTGCTGCTGCTGTAGCATCGTCTGCTGCTGCTGTAGCAGCATCGTCTGCTGCTGCTGTAGCAGCATCGTCTGCTGCTGCTGTAGCAGCATCGTCTGCTGCTGCTGTAGCAGCATCGTCTGCTGCTGCTGTAGCAGCATCGTCTGCTGCTGCTGTAGCAGCATCGTCTGCTGCTGCTGT